GGGTCTGGATACGAGTGGGTCTGAGTTCGAGCGAGTCGAAGCGCGAGTTGTCTGAGTGTGCGTTTGTGTGCGTGCGCATGAGTCTGAACGTGGCTGAGTCTGCGTTTGAGTGTAGTGAATACAGATTTGAGTATGGGTTGGCCTGGGTGCGAGGTCGTCTGAGTATAAGTGGGTCTGAGGGCTGGCGGGTCTGAGTGTGAGCGACTCTTCGTGTACATTGGCATGGGCGTGGGTAAGTTTGAGTTTGAGCGAGTCTGAATATGTATGAGGGAGACTGGGCTGCGACCGATGTTGGACATGACCGATGTTGGGAGTGATGAGTGAGACTGAGCGAAGAAGAGGTGCTGGCGAGTAAGTCCACATGCAAGTGTGTGCGCCCGATCGAAGAATAGAGGAAGGAGGTGAGTGAGTAAGTGGATGTGTGAGGAGCGCGCGAGTCCCAAAACAAGTTTGGGGGGGCAGAAGCGGGCGAATCACTTGAGACATCCACCGATATGAGCGTGAATCCTGAAGTGTCCCCACCTCTGGCGGTTCCGCCATGGAATGCCCAATTCCACGCCTGCTTCTTATCACGGTGAACACCGAACCTTAGGAAACAACGGAGCGGGGGGGGCAGAAACAGGCAAACCGCCAGAGACATCCCCCCAATTTGAGTGGTCATCTTGGAGTGTTCCCGTCCTTGGCGGCTCCCACATTGGTGTGCCCAGTTGCAGCGTTCGCTAGATCGCGGTGAGCATTGGACCACCGTTCACTTGCCGAAGGATTGAACCATGTGCAGAAGCGAATGCCGCGAGGGGAGTGGGACGAAGGATTGGGGCACGCAAGCTCCGAACAGCGCACGACGTAGCCTTTGCTCTCATAGGCAACCCGCCGCTGGAAGAACGAGTCGCGGGGCAGTGCGGGCGGGGGGAGAAACGAACGGGAGGTTCGACCCGCACACCCAATCACCATTCACCACATCCAGCATTCGGGAGCAGTGAAGCACTTACGAAGCAATTGACATGATGGGGCCCGGTGAATTTGGGCAGCGAAAAGGGCGAAAGCAGGAAGGGTGCGCGAGCATGGCTCACCGTCTACGGGGCCATGCAGAGCGTCAGGGGTGTGCCGGATTGGGTTGGGCGGGCGCATGTGAATTCACCACGGAGGGTTTCGGGGGAGTTCTTTGTGGTTCTTCGCGTTCACCCTTCGCGAATGCTGAAACCAGCGCCTCGCCTAAGACATATTTGCATTATATGTGTGTGAGCGAGAGTCTGCCGACTTTGGGTACGAGAGGCGTGCGAGTGCGAGTTGGCCTGAATCTCGGCGGGTTTAAAATTGTGTGGGTCTGGGTATGAGTGAGCCTGAGTACAAGTTAGGTTGGATATCATTGGGTTCGAGGGTGAGCGAGTCAGCGGTGAGCCGTCGACCTCGTCGACCTCGTCGTCGTTGCCGCCGCCGTCGGCGTCGACCTCGTCGTCTCCCTCTCGTCTCGGCGGCACGTGCGAAGAGGTGGCGCGTGGGGGCGGCCTTCTTGGAAGGCTGGGGGCTTCTTTGAAGGCGGGGGCCTCAGAAACGCATGGGGGCTTCTGGGATCCCTAGAATCGAATTACTGGGCGGAGCTCCCTAGAATCGATTACTGGGCTCGCTTCAGGGTTCTGAGGAGCTGGGCGGGCTCCCTAGAATCGATTACTCGTAAGAGTTACCTTTCGCTGGATTGTTTTTTTTGTGCGGGCCCAACGGGGTCCCCCGATCGCCGAACGCGATTCGGTAGTAGCGCCTTTCGCACTTGTGGTTGGCCTCCCCCACGGCCCCCCAAAACCCGCGCACCAAAGGTCACTCTTTCCTGGGGTCATTCTTGCGTGTTGTGGGAAGAAGCATCGTGACGTCTTGGAAGCCGCTTCAGGAGGCCGCCCCCGCCGCGGCCTCCCCTTGGGCGCGCAGCTCTGGCCGCCTGGGCCTGGCAGAGGTCGGACGGGGCCAAGACGAGGATGAAGCCGTTTCAGGGCGTTCTGGAACGTTTTCGAAGCGTTCCGGAGCGCTCTGAGGGTGCCGCGGCGCCCGAGACGTCCTCCAGAGACGCTGGATCTCAGAGTTTCTCTATGCATCTTCACCTGATTTGATCCTTCGCTTCTTCCTCCTCCTCCTCCTCCTCCTCCTCCTCCTCCTCCGCCTCCGCCTCCTCCTCCTCCTCCTCCTCGTCTTAGGAGGGGAGGCGGCGGCGCACGCCCGTGCTCGGGCAGGTGGTAGCCCTGGCGGCTCAGACCGCGGACGACGTGGAGAGGTTCCTGCAGGCCAACGCGGTGGATCCCGAGGCGTCGGCGCCAACTGGCCTCTCCTTGCGCTGCGAGGTTCAAATTTACTTTAGCCTGGATCACCAGCAAGAATTTCGAGTACAAAGAAAGTACCGAAATGGAGGGTTTCCACGTGTCGTGCCCTGGGAGGCGATACTCGCTCGACAATGTTTCGAGGGTGCTCGAAACGATTTCTGGGATGTGGTCCTTTAGTGCGATGGGAGCAGCATAATCCTTGCGGGAAAGTTAAGTCAGGCGTGTCCCTCTACAGGAGGAATCTCCCCAAATCATCAAAACATAGTATTGGGATGATGTTTCGCCTATGTTTGATTGTTGGAGGTGCATTGTTTGCATTGTTTTCCCCTCCAAATTCCGCCTGTAGGAGGACATGCACGACCTAACATAAGAGGGTGTTTTTTATCCCTCGGGGCCATAACGCGCGTTGTGCCCCTTACCCTTTCCCCCCCCGCCTCCCGCCCCCATAACGTAAATCTCCCACCCCCTCAGTGCGTCCCCGGTGCTGCCGCAATGCGCCTGGCACCACAGTCTGGGGGGGGGGGGGTGCTACGTTCTGCCGCTTCCCGTTCCGCCCCCATGCCTCCCCCCCATAACGCCCGTTGTGGCCGCGTCTGAAAAAATGCGCTCTTACACGTCGGCCGTTGAAAGCAGGTATCTGTGGATTCCCAGATCCCAATTGACTTTCAGTGCCTTCCTACGTCAAGCGTTTACCCGCTTTTGCTGAGTGTTGTTATTATCTGGGAGGGCCTGTACCCAATCTACCTTATCCGGTCTCCTGCTTCATGTTTTTACCTACTTCCGACCGTCAGGTACCAAGATGTTCGTTCGAACCCGTCGACGCCGATCGTGGTCATGGACCACGCCCGCCGTCGCCGAACGAGGATGGTCCACGAATTGACGATGGCCAAGATTATCCAGCACGTCTCTCTACAGGGGGGAATATTTAAAATAAATAGCCTGGCGCAGGATCCAACCATGTGCAGCTGCGAATATCGCATTGTGGGTACCGCTTTCGATGGAGCTGCATAAGGGGCCCCGAACCGCGTGAGGAGTGTGCCGAATTGGGCGCGGTAGTGCCATGCGAACCGTCCCACTGGAACCTTCGGTGGAGCTCCACGAACCGAGTGTTGGGTATGCCGAGTTGGGCGCGGTGGTGCCATGCGAACCTTCCCACTGGAGCCTTCGGTGGAGCCCCCTATGGGGCCACGAACCGTGTGAGGGGTGTGCCGACTTGGGTGCGATGGTGTCATGCGAACCTTCCCACTGAAACCTTCGATGGAGCTCCCTATGGGGCCACGAACCGTGTGAGGGGTGTGCCGAAGTGGGAGTGGTGGTGCCATGCGAACCCTCCCATTGGAGCCTTCGGTGGAGCTCCCTTCGGGGCCACGAAGCGTGTGAGGGGTGTTCCGAAATGGTGGACATGCGGAGCGCAAAAACACAAATGGGAGGAGGGAGGAGGGAGAGGAGAAGGAGTAGGAGGAGGAGGAGGCGTGGGAACGCGGGGTGTTGTCTCTTCAAGACGAGGACCCAACACCACAGGATGGTCGGGAAATAGTCCGAAAAATTGTCTGGGGACGATTTGTTGATTGTTTGCCAGCATTGTTGGAGCATATGTTGATTATTTGTCATTGTCGTCCACAACCCGCCTGTAGGAGGACATGCCCGACCTAAGGCCAAGATGGACGATCGACAAGATCGATACCGACGTGTCCGCGTCCAGTCGTGGTCATGGTCCCCGTTCTCTTCCCCCCCATCTTGTCGGCCTTCGGGGGGCCCCTCCTTCTTGTCGGCCTTCGATCTGCTCTGGGGTGCTTGTCCTGGAGCTCCAGCCAGCACTCCTGGGCAGGTCAGGCCCTGCGGGACGCGATCCAGGACAGGTTTGGAGGTGGTGATGATGCTGCTGCTGCTGAGGAGGAGGAGGAGGAGGAGGATGAGGAATAGGAGGAGGAGGAGGAGGAGGAGGAGGAGGAGGGAGCGAGGGCTGCGATCGACGATCCCTCTAGCCACCAGGAGGAGGAACAGGAGGGGAGGTAGATTTGAAGTCAATTTCAACATGCTTGGCGTGCCTCCGTGACTGTCCTCGTCGACACGACGGCCAGATCCTCCTCGGAGTCCTTGTCACAAACCTGTTCAAGGAGAGGTCTGAGACTGTCCAGCTTCTAAGGTCGAGCTAGAGCAGCAGTGCAGTCGGACCGAGGTATGAGAGATCGAGGTCGGTTCAGTGAGGGTACCCTGGTGTTCGTCGTGGTTGCTGGATGTCTTTGTGCGCCCTGGGGAGGGTACCCTTCGATGGCCTGCGTGTTTTCTGGCCGGAGGTTCGTCCCTTCTTCCTCTCGGCCGTCCCACCCCATTCTCTTTGCCTCAGGAGCGAAGCAAGGACGTACATGTACATGAATCCACGCTGGTTTCGAGAGCACGCATCGCACAAATGTTCGTATAACGCGGCGGGTCTCGCGAATCGAGGGGCCGTGTTCATGTACATACGGTAGGTTTGCGTCGTGTCGACCGGCGGCGACCCCGCCAGCGGCGTTCAAGGTTGAACGCCGCCGGCGGCCTAGAATCGATCGATGTTGAACCATCGGACGTTGCGGCAGCGGCCGATCGTTCCAGGTTGAACGATCCCCGCGGTGTCAGAAACCAACGCCGGGGTCGACACGACGCGAACCTGCCGTAGCTGGGCGCGCACGTCCTTTGTGGGCTCCCTATTGCCCGCCGGCCAATTCGCTAGTGAGTGTCCCGTTTTTTTCTAGCTCCTCGCTGGAGCGGAGCTCGCCGCCCCGCCGCCGACGAGACAAGTCGTTGGCCGGCGGAGGGCCTCGTGCTCTCGAGGGATGCTCCTCTGGCCCCGGTCCGACAAAACGACGCGAAGATCGGGACAAAATCGGATCGGGGTAACTCGAAATCTCTGAGAGTCGGCGGGTTTGGAGGATGTGTTGGGCGCCGCGGCCGCTCCAGAGCGTTCCGGAACGCTCTGAGAGCGCTCCAGACCGCTCTGAAGCGATTTATCCTGATCCTGGCCCTGTTTTAGACTGCAAGAGGATCGAAGTGGAGAGGCTCCGCGGGCCGCTCTCCTCGATGCCTTATCCCCCCAAAAACCGGAGGTTGATAGACCTCCTACCTTGACACGTCGATTAGCGAATTGGCCTTTTTCGGTTCGCGAGACGGCGTCGCGGCCGTCATTTTTGCGGGTCCAGGTCCGCCGGTTTCGGTCCTAGGCCGGTTTCACGAAAGGTTGGTTTACTAAAGGGAGTTGTGTCCACCGCCGAAAAAAAACTAGCTTCCACGAGCTTTCAGACGTGTATTGGGACGTTCCAGGAGGACAGCAGAATTTCCAGAACCCGCTCAAGACATCCCGTACGCCTCGTCACCAGTCCTCCTCTTCGCTTTTCTCCCTCCTCCTCCTCCTCCTCCTCCTCCTTTTCCGCCTCCTCCTCCTCCGCGTCCTCCTCTTACTCCTTTCCGCCTCCTCCCTGCCTTAATAGCTACCTCCTCCCAACTGGAGACCCGCTCTGCGCCCTTACTCCCGCAACACATCGCTTGTCTCACGCTCGCGGCGCTCGCCGCGTGTCCCTGCTTTGCCATGCGAAGAGGAGGGAGCAGGACGAGGGGTCGTGCCGAGTAGCAGTGAGGCATGAGGGATGGGAGGGTTCCGGGTTGGGGGAAGCAGGAAGGCAGGAGGGATGAGGATGAGGATGAAGGGGATGATGATGATGATGATGATGATGATGATGATGATGATGATGATGATGATGATGATGATCATAATAATGATGAGGACGAAGGGGATGGTGATGATGATGATGATGATGATGTTGATGTTGATGATGATGTTGATTATGATGAAAATGGTGATGACGATTGGGATGATGATGCTACTGATACGGATGATGACGATGACGATGATGAGGATGCTGCTGATGATGATAATGGTGCTTGTGATGCTAATACTGGTGATGATGTTGAACATGATGCTGATGTTGATGCTGATCATGATTACGATGATGATGATGATGATGATGATGATGATGATGATGCTGATGATGCTGCTGCTGATGATGATGATGCCGATGATGATGATGATGATGATGATGATGATGATGATGATGATGATGATGATGATGATGATGATGATGATGATGATGCTATGAGGAGGATGAGGAGGAGAAGGACGAGGGAATGAGGGCTGCGATCGACGATCCCTTCAGCCATCAGGAACAGGAACAGGACGATGGAGGAGGGAGGATGGCAGCAGCAAGAGGAGCAGGAGCAGCAGGCGAGAGCAGGAGAGGGCGCAGCAAGACAGGAAGGATGATGGAGTCTACTCTGCCCCCCTTTCCCTCTTACTTCTTTCCCTCGCGCTTGTCCTCTCACTCTCCCCTCTCCATGCTTTGGCTCCTCCTCATTCTCGCTCATCCCTCGTCGCTCCGACCTCCCTCGTCCCTCTCCCTCCACTTCCTGGAATCTCTGTTCACCCTCCGCTATATCGATCATCAATGCTTCTCCTCCCGTCTCTTTTCGTTTGCATCATTACCTTCTGACTTCTCGTTCAGTGTCCTCCTCATCTCCCGCTTCGCCTCACCCTCCACCCCTGCCCCTCATGCACTGGTCACCTGTCTCTGTCTTTCCTGTCCCCTGTCTCCCTCTCCCCCTGGCACTCCTCGCGGCTGCGGCCACGGGGGGTGGGGTTGGGTGGGGGGGGGGATGGGCATCGAGGATCGCCCCCTCCTCCCCTTACCCTCCTCCTCCTCCTCCTCCTCCTCCTCCTCCTCCTCCTCCTCCTCCCCCTCCTCCTCTCCCTCTCTCCCCCCCCCCGGCGGTCCTGGGGGCGCCCTTTGTTTGCGGAGTGTGCTCGCTCTCCGCGTGCTGCCTGCCTGCCGTGGCCGCCCGCGAGCCGGCCCGCGGGGCGCCGCGCCCCGCCCCGTGGGCGCCGCGCGGGCGCGCCCGCCCGCGGGCCGGCTCGCGGGCGCGCGTGGGCGGCCGGCGGCCCGGGGGGGCGCGGGGCG